CTCTCTCTCTCTCTCTCTCTCTCTCTCTCTCTCTCACTCTCTCTCTCTTTCTTTCCCTCTTTCTCGTGTGTCTTGCAGTGGGCATTACAGTAAGAACGTGGTCTCCAAGGGACTCCAAGTGTACCTCCCCTCTCCACTTCGCAGAGACCACAATCTAACCGTCCTTTCTTTCCCTCTCTCTTGCAGTGGGCATTCCAGCAATAAAGTGGTCTCCAACTCCAAGGGACTCCATGATGGGATCCTCCGCTTCATGCTCTCTCTACTTCGCAGCTACCACAATCTAACCGTCCTTTCTTTCCCTCTCTGTCTTGCAGTGGGCATTACAGTAAGAACGTGGTCTCCAATGGACTCCAAGTGTACCTCCCCTTTCCACTTCGCAGAGACCACAATCTAACCAGTCTTTCTTTCCCTCTCTGTCTTGCAGTGGGCATTCCAGCAATAAAGTGGTCTCCAACTCCAAGGGACTCCAGGATGGGACCCTCCGCTTCATGCTCTCTCTACTTCGCAGCGACCACAATCTAACCGTCCTTTCTTTCCCTCTCTGTCTTGCAGTGGGCATTCCAGCAATAAAGTGGTCTCCAACTCCAAGGGACTCCATGATGGGACCCTCCGCTTCATGCTCTCTCTACTTTGCAGCTACCACAATCTAACCATTCTTTCTTTCCCTCTCTGTTTTGCAGTGGGCATTCCAGCAATAAAGTGGTGCGGCGCCGAGGGCGACTACAATGTCATGGTGATGGAGCTACTCGGTCCTAGTCTCGAAGATCTCTTCAACTTCTGCAACCGAAAGTTCAGCCTGAAGACGGTCCTACTACTAGCTGACCAGATGGTAAGCTGCCGGGATGTCACGCGAAGCTAGAGAGGTGGGAAGAGAGGGGGGGAGAGAGGGAGAGAGAGAGGAGGGGGACGAGGGAGAGAGAGAGAGAGAGAGAGGAAGAGAGAGAGAGAGAGGANCGGCAGACGAGCGAAAAAGTGCGAGGTCGAGAGACGATTAGTTACCGTCGCCGTCACTAGATGGCGCACCCCGTACACCGGCGTTTTTCCGATCCTGTCGATCGACGGCCGGCGAGGAATGGTGAGAAGAGAGACTGAGGTGTTAGTTTGGTGCCTGTGCGGCGTGCGGGCGGGGGAGTTACCGGTGACGGTGATTTACGCTGAGATGAGGCCGTCAGGCAGGAAGGGGGGAGGGGGAGAGTTATCCGTGCATCTGTTGCTGCTTCTTCCTCGTTAAGCATGTCGAGGAGTGGGTGCGCCATTACTGGCTTCATGTGTCTAACTGCATGCTTGCGTGTATGTGTGCGTGTGCCTTCTCTCTCTTTCTCTCTTTCTCTCTCTCTCCCTCTCTCTCTCCCTCTCTCTCTCTCCCTCTCTCCCTCTCCCTCTATCTCTCTCTCTCTCTCTGACACTCTCTCCCCTCTCTCCATGTCTCCTCCTCTCTGTCTTTCTCTCTCTCTGTCGCCCCTTCTGTCTCCCCCTCTCTCTCTCTCTCTGCCTCTCTCTCTCTCTGTCTTCCCCTTCTCTCTATCTCTCTGCCTTTCTGCGCTCTCTCTGCCTCTCTCTCTCTCTCTCTTTCTCTCTCTCTGTCTCCCCCTCTCTGTCTCCCCCTCCCTCTCTCTCTCTGCCTCTCTCTCTCTCTTTCTCTCTCTTTGTCTCCCCTTCTCTCTGTCTCCTCCTCTTTCTCTCTCTCTACTAACTGCATGCTCGACGTTCGTTCTGCAACTCTCGTTGTGTTGTTGTTTTCTCTGTGCCGTAGAGCCCGCAGACCGGCCCTCGAACGCGCGTGTCGTACCGCTGCCTCAGACGAGCCAGACGGCGAGGGTGCGCGGACTCAGGCAGCAGCCACAGTCAAGGTCGTCGTCGCGACCTTCGATCAGCGGTCACGGTCTGGGCGTGGTGTGACACCTCATGACCTCACAGCTCCGGAGCGGGAGCTCACAGTCGCCTGGTGCGTGAGCGCGCGCGGGGAGGTTGTGGTGTGCACGTCTCTCTCTCAATGACGGAGGAGGCATTGGAGGATTCCTCCCTTCCCCACGCACACGCGATTTTTGGGACGGTTTTTGCAAAAGCAGCGCCGCCTGGTGCGTGAGCGCGCGCAGGAGGTTGTGGTGTGCGCGAGAGACGGAGCCGTGCATGTCTCTCTCTCACTGTCTCTCTGGAGAATGACGGAGGAGGCATTGGAGAAGGTTTCCTTTCTCCCTCCGTGCGCACGAACGCGATTTTCCGGGCAGTTTTTGCAAAAGTGGCACCGCCCGGTGTGTGCTCGTGCAGAGCGTTGTTATAGAGCGCGCTACCGTTGCCAAGCGTGGCAGACGCGTTTGTTTGTATAGAGGGCGCCGAGCGTAAGAAAGCGCCTTTTCTCGATGTCGAAGTCTACCTTCGTTCCGAACCGTACGAGTGAACGTATATGCATACACGTGTATATATATATATACTATTTGTGTGCGCGTGCATGCGTGCGTGCGTGCGTGTATGCGTGCGAGCGTGCATGCGTGCGTGTCTATCTATCCAGCCGACGACCAGGACGGCTAGCGTTGCACCCGCGGCACGAAAACTGACATATCCACTCGTAAGCACTGCCAATTTAACGCGTTGTCGTACGTAGAAGCGTCGGTCGAAGCGGTACGAAGCGTGCGGTGACGAAACAGGAGCTGCGGCGATGGCTAGCGCGGCGTGGCGTGGCGTGGCGTGGCGTGGCGTGGCGTGGCGTGGCGTGGCGTGGCGTGGCGTGGCGTGGCGTGGCGTGCGGGGATTGAGAAGTGACG